GCGTGCCCAGTCCATCGAGCGTGCCCAGTACATCGAGCGTGCCCAGTCCATCGAGCGCGCCCAGTCCATCGAGCGCGCCCAGTACCTCGAGCGTGCCCAGTACATCGAGCGTGCCCAATACATCGAGTGTGCCCAATACATCGAGTGTGCCCAGTACATCGAGTGTACCCAATACATCCAGTGTGCCCAGTACATCGAGCGTGCCCAGTACACCGATCGCGCCCAGTACATTGAGTGTGCCCAGTACATCTAGTGTGCGCAGCACATCGAGTGTGCCCAGTACAACGAGCGTGCCCAGTACATCGAGCGTGCCCAGTTCAACAAGCGTGCCCAGTACATCGGGTGTGCCCAGTACATTGAGTGTACCCAGTACATCCAGTGTGCCCAGTACATCGAGCGTGCCCAGTACAACATCTCCTGCACCTACTCCCAGTACATCCAGTGTGTCTGTTACAACATCAGCTCCGCGCACACTCAGTACGTCAATTGTGTCCGCTCCTTCATCAGCTGCAGCAATTCGTACATCACGTGTGACCAATAGTACATCCGCTACAACACCAGCCAGTACATCAAGTTTATCGCCTTCTGCATCAACTACACCAACCTTTGTTTCATCAGCTGTATCAAAGACTGCATCGTCCACATCTTCATCTGGAACTTCACAGCTGTCAACCACCGAGTTCCAGGCATTCACCTCTAGCCCATCAAATATTTCAGCTCCGTCATCTTCATTTGCAACTTCATCTGGTAATATTAACGTATCGTCCACTGAAACACCAACTGCTTCATCTAGTGTGTCAAACCTGGTGATGTCTACGTCGGTTCGAGCCACTTCTGAAACACCAAGTACTGCAGGTTCTGCTCCAGCTGCAGTTACATCTGGTGCATCAGGTGTGTTAACCGCATTGTCAGATAAGCTCTATAATGTAAGACAAATGAATCACTTTAATCATTTCCATGGCCAACAGATGTCTTTCCCTTTCTGTTTCTTATGCTTTCCTGATTGTTTGGATCAGATTGGGACTTATGTTAATTTAGTGTGTTGCACATTCATGTGGAAACTGGGCTATGGGTGGACAATAAACTCTTCTACAAATGATTGAAAATGTTGTTTTTTCCTGTTGTCGTAGATTCCACTATGTCCCCTGAAAGTGTGTCAACAGGAGTAATGTTCAGCACTGCATCCTCAACAACTAACATATCTTCAGCAATTGTTTCTCAAGCATCTGGCAATACCACCACCTCTTTCAATCTGATCACCAGCATTGGCACAACACCGAACCCAGCCAGCAGTGGCAGCTCTACCAGCATTACTTCCTCCACAACAAGCCTCCCTTCTGCCAGCACTTTACTGGTGATCACCAGTTCTGATGGCCCAACAGCGGCAAGCTCAACTTTCAAGTCCAGTGCCCCCAGTCTCACAGGAAACACCACCACAGCCAGCTCTCCCACCACAACCCCAACTACATCTACCACCTTTACCACCACCACACCCACCACCCTCACCACCACACCCACCCCCCTCACCA